CATTTATTTGGTATTCAAGATGAAGCAGTACGCGAACAAATTAATTACGTTCTCGATGAAGACGAAATTATCGGCAAAGGACCTAATGGCACACTAAGCATGGTATTCAATGGAATTAAAAGATTGAATAAAGGCGAAAAACATCTAAAGATTACTTGTGATAACGCGGGTGGACAGAATAAAAATAATGCTACCATTTGATTTTACTTATATTTAACAGTTTGCGGTTATTATGAAAGTATCGAATTAAATTTCATGGTGCCAGGACATACTAAATTTAAGTGTGATGGCAGTTTTGGATTGATTAAAAAGCTCTATAGAAAGACAACAGTAGATTATGTGAATCATATTGTCGAGGTTGTGAAAAAATCAAGTACAGCAGGATTAAACAAAGCTCAGTGCTATGAAAACGGCAAAGGCTTTCGGTATTTAGATTTTAATTCCGTGTTAGGAATTTTCTTTAAAAAATTAAGTGGTTTACAAAAATATCAGCATTTTGTATTCGAAGCAGCCCGACCTGGAATTGTCAAAGCCTAGCTGGTCGCTAATGGTGCTTATACTGAATTTAATTTGTTAAAAACTAGAAAAGCAAGCATTTCTGAAATTACCAAAGCACTTAAATCTTTTTCTATTTTAGTTCTAACTCCACCTCATTTGGATTACAAAAGACAAGAATATCTTTATCATAATATTCGCCCATTCATTAGGGATGAATTCAAGGATATTACTTGTCCCAAACCAATATATACTGAGAATGAATAAAATATTTTAGTCAACCACAAATTTTATTACTTTATTAGTTTCGTTTGTTATATTAACTTTTTTATATTTAATTTTTTAATATTAAAATATAATAATATAGGAATTAAAATTATGGCATTCAAAAAAAATGATATAAATACAATAGATGAAGCTAAAGAATACTCCAATTATTATGGAGGAGTCCTTAAACCAGAAGAAAAAGCTATCTTTGATAGTAATCTTTTAAAACCCAATGGTACTTTGGATAAAACACCCCTTCATATAACAATTATGTACTCGCATGTTTATGGGTCTTGTGTGAATCCATAAATTCCGAGGAAACTATTAACGGAACTATAACCATGTCTGTTCATGCACTTGGCATGGTTTCTTATTCTGAACTATTAAATAATAAATAAATACAGAGTCAGATTAAATATCATTTTGATTAATACTACCGATTGTTGCTTACTTCGTTAATAAATAATTCCTGCGTCTGATCAAAATTCTTAAATCGTTTGACATGACACTTATTTAACAAGAACACAAAATTTATGAAAAGATAATGTTTTTAGTACAACAGTCTCTGAATCGTCTTTACGTTTGGCAGTATAAACTGTTCTATAACTACCAGATCCAATTTCTTTGATTTCGTCAAAGTCGGCATACTGCATATACCGAAAGTTATTGTTAATTTGTATAATTCTGTTCAATATTGGACGTACTTCAAGGTAAAAGACTAAATAATATTTCCGAGTAGATGGCTCTCGTGTGATTCCAATTATCCAAATATTATCTGCGGTTAATATTGTTGGGTATTCCTTAATTATTTCACGCGTGAAATGATTTACCGTAGTATCATCACCTATCGGCTTGAGTGTCACTTTTCTAAATTCATTTGTCGCTGGTTCTAACCATGTCGCTACAAGTGACATCCATGGTGTAACGGGATCACTTCTCGTACGCTTGTCAATAAAGAATAATCTATCCAATGTAAGTAGGCATCAAACTTGGACTTTACATTACTCCACGATTCCATAAGGAATAAATCCAAAGATTTGTTGCCAGTCGTCCAATCAAGAGGTGTTGGTGCTCTGCACTGGTAGCAAAATAGCTTAATGTGTGGTTCTAACTGACACGTACACGCTAGACAATATCCACGCCCTCTGGGTTCTTTTATTAGATAATGTTCCCCTTGATCTCTATCATATGTGAATCCGATGGTAACCCAAACATTTTTCATAAAAATATCCGGATGCTTTTCACATAACTAGCGAAATAACAAGTCATTAATTATCCAAAACAACTCAATAAAACATGATGCAATCGCCACACGATATTGCTCCTCCAGGTTACCTCGTCATAGTATTTATTATCACGTCTCTCAAACCAAAGCAATTCAACAGTTGCATAAAAATCAATAGGTGGACCTTGTAAGTATAACTCATTTACAGCATCATGAGTAAACTCAAATGGAATCCATTCCAAATAGGCATCATTTGCCGAGTTTGTTTGTAATTGAGTCGTCTTAATAAACTCATCGAGTTCCTCAATGTTGCTAGTCCATCCATCGCACAATTCTTTATGCCCGCAAATGCACCACACGGGACGAATATTCCGCATGCGGAGCAGAATCCGTATCGAGAATAGTATCCGTTAAAGAGTCCATCAGCGACCATGTAATAATTACCATCACATTCGGTAAATCCTAATATGTATGAGTTGCGTTCCTTGAGCCATTTTGAATATCTTTTAAAGTTATTGTCATCCTTATCGTATTCGCATGTCGGAAGTGAGTATATTCTAGCAAATGCACTCACTGAGGTTGGCGTACATTTTTCGCTACTTTCAAGGAATACCAGCGTTACTGCATACTCATACCATCCGTAATAGACAGTGTCTCTTGACGTTGGCCTAATTTCAGTGAATTTAGAACCAGGAAACCATTTAAGTTCATCATCTTCAGATGATTTAATTTTAATCAAGTCGTCAATTGCTTTGCTCTGAGCAAAAAGATTTTCAACCCGCATCACGTATAAAACACGACTGACGTGATTGGCTGGCGATCAACTGAGGGTTGATATCAACGTATATGCTAATGAAACCAAGAAACGGTTCCTAAATTAGTTTGTCAAATTAAAATAGCTTCTTACATACGATTAAACTTGACTGAAACCAACAGTTGACTGTACTGACGATGTCACATCACTTTTATATAAATTGTAATTTCAATACATGCGTGATAATTCAAATAACAAAGATTAGAGGTGCGATAAACTGGAAGAATACGATATTTAATGCTTGGACCTGAGTAAATCTTAAGACTATAGCCTTAAATATTAACACGAAACTTGTTTAAAACCAATTCTGCTTGAAATTCAGATCGCCCCATTTAACTTCGCTGGATATGTGTTATCACGTCACGAAACACTCTTTTGTTACGCGCTACGAAACCAACAATGATGTAATCCAATCAAATTCAAGCATGTGACAAACTGATTTTAATATTTTAATTTCCCTTTTTTTGATAAACAAATTCACTTTCAAAACATGACCATCGCAACGGATGCGGCAAAAGAAAACGGATCAAATTATGAAAAGTGGTTGCTTGATAACGGTGCCAAATTTAACAATGTTGTCTTTGGACAAGGTGAGTCGTCAAAACTCACGATAACCTCTCTTACTGAGGTCAGTTCAGGTTATCAGTTTCTTGCTTGACATTTAGCAACTTTAGCATGCCACGTTCTGCAACACCACAAAGTTAACTATTTTCCAAAATTATGTTTACTATTCCAAAAAGATCCTAAAACCGCCATATCCGGTCTATTCTCTACCTGTTCTATTCCCTCATCAACTCTCCTTGTCTCCATTCCTTCCTCTCTTTTCATAACCACTTCTCGTTCTTACTCTTTCCTAACCCCCTTTTTGAACTCGCTCTCATCACGCACGCTATTATCTCTCTGTCTCCTTTACGAAAAGAAACGCGGCCCAGACTCTTTCTTCCATCCGTACATTGGAATACTACCCAAGAATGTCCTAACACCGCTATGGTTCAGGGAGGAGGAATTGGAATTGTTGGAGGGGACGAATTTGGAAGTAGGTGTGAAAAAGAGGAAGGAGAGCTTGATAAAAGAGTGGAAGACGATTAGAGATTTGCATGATGGAATTACATGGTGAGTTTGAAGAGCGAGCGCGTAAGAATATGATGGTTGTACAATTAATCTCCAACTTTTGCTTTCACATCACAACAGGCCTGACTACCTCTGGGCCGTCTCTATAGTAACCTCTCGCGCGTTTCCCTACTCCCTGGTTGATCCATCCGATAAAACATCAGCAGAGGTCCTAATTCCTCTCGCAGATGCATTGAACCACGAACCCAGAAGAAAGATTTTTTGGAAATATGCTAATGATGCGTTAGAGATTGTAACCGAGGAAGATATCGGAGCTCGTGCTCAGATTTTTAACAACTATGGACCAAAGGTGAGAGTGAAAGAAAGAGAAGAAACGATATAAATATTAGGTGGTGACAATTGTTTGTTTTATTGCTTGTGATTTATAAAATACGAGAAAAATATTGTCAACGTATTGCTCTTGTTCCCTAACAATATTTTGCATTTTAAAAAAACGTTTTCCGAGTGACAGTCAAACGAGGAGCGTAAGTTTTGCATCAAAGCGTGTTTATTTACTCTAATGATTATAGAAAAAATTGCTAATTTCACCTAGCTCACCCACCCATGTTTTCCTCCTCTCTGATAATAAAGTGCTTTTAGGTTACGGTTTTACAATACGTAACAATCCTGATGACTGGGTAGCAATAAAAGTTTCATTTTCGAATTCTTCAACTCTATCTCAAATCCAAATTCCTTCCAGCTCGCAAACTCATTCCGACGATTCTTTGGGGACGAACGGTGCCTCGGACGAATTATCCGATGATTCGTCTCCGGCTCGAATTCCATCTAAAGAATACCTCCTTTCCTTTGGTGGGCTCACTAACACGCGCCATTTTCTCTTTTCCGACTACCTTCCGCCTGCTCTGCTTGCTCAATTGCGAGTTCTCGTGATGACCGACACTGAGGTTGAATTATACATGAACGTCGCGGGGAAGCGTTGGTGTGAATTTGTGGGATATAGGAATGAATTGGCGATGCTCGAGGCATTTAAGGAATTGGTTTGGAAGAAAATTTCTGGACTGAGGCGGGGAGCCAAGCAAGGAAAGCTGAAGAATGTGAGAAGGGAAGTTTTGGATAGTGTCGAGATTTATAGGGAAGGCGAGTATTGAAAGGTTCTGGTGAAGTTGGAGCAGGAGAGTTTGCGATAGTCAAGTTGCAAATATTGTCGCGTACGGCGTGTATTACAAGATTCCTTCCAACTAACAATATTTTCCTTAGGTCAAAAGTATATACTGGAAAACACGCTCTCTCATATATCCACGCGTATGAATATGGTGATATCGCTTGCTTTATCTGAGTTTTATTCTAGTCGGAAGCTTTATCCCCCATTCCTCAAAATAAACAATGCCACTCTGAAAACCCCTGCGTTTTCTTCCCTCCCTTCCTCCTCCATCAATCCCATAAGTACACTCGTAATTTCAATAGACAATGCGATGAATGATAAATCGTTTGCGAATGCAATTAAAAAGATTATTGATGATGTTTATGAGGAAGAAGATGTTGTCCTTATGTTGTATTTGATATACGAGAGGCATAACGCAACCTCGCCGTGGAGAAAATTCTTTCAGGCGGTTGACGGATACATAATGTGAGTATTTTTATTTTTATATCATATCAAAAACTGCGCAATTTATGAATATAGTTCGTTTATGTTACGACTTTTTCATAGGATGGCTGAGAGTGACGAGGAAGAGAAAGAAAAACGGAAGCAAATAGAACAATTGCATCATTCACTGCAGTTGGGGGCGACATGTAGTATATTTTCTGATGCGGTGTACACGATAGATAATTTCATATGGGCAGCTAATATTATAGATACATTCTCATTAACATTTTATCAAGATGGAACAGCTCGTACTGGAATAGTTCCAACATAGATATGTAATGCATGGGGTATGGTGAGCAATGGGATTGAGAATCACAGATACGGGCACAATTTGAACATTAGTTATTCGTCAAGTTCTAGCGTTTGCACTAAAGAAATAAATAAATGGCAGACATTAATATTAAACGAAAGACATGCATTCAGTTACACGGGTGTGAAACAATCATCCACATTGCGAATTATAATTAGGCGAAGATTCAACAAGTTTGAATGTTACGTGTTATGTTCTTGATGAAATTTTAGTAGTCCGTCCGGTGATCGTCGGTTCGGTTATTACGTTTAAGCCAAGACGCGTAATCAATTAATATTTTCCTTTTTCGATAATCTAATTGGATTTAGATTCCAATGATTATGATGTTAGACCCCTGCTTAGTAGATATATGCGAAAGTCAGAGTAATTTTTAGTTGTAAATTAGGCAAATGCTGGAGTATCAAACTAAACAGCAAAAAAATATCTGTCAAAGGTTTCATTAATCAAATAGATAAACACAACATAATGAATATGAAAAATATCAAAGTGATAAGTATACAAGGCATCTTCAAGTATGAGCTACATCTTAATTGTACTAATACAGGCTTACAAGCAAGACACTGAAGTTTGAGAGTATTCCTAAAACATAAACACACTCTCTGATGTGTCTGAATATAATAATAACATTAATATCCAATAAAGAGCATAACTGACAAATTTATTATTATAAATCGTTTATTACTTTGCAATTTGATATTCAAATTTCATATCATTTTCAACCCCCAATTTACAGTTACTTCTGTTATATGTTAATGAAAATTTCATCTAATGTTCTACTTCAACATTAAACATATTAATATGGTTTACCACCTTTATACAACCCAGCTTTTTCCCTTATTTTCTTTTTACTTCTGATCCATTTTCATAAAAGTATACACCTTACTTTGTGCTTTACTATAACCTTGTTCAGCTGCCTTTTCATAAAACCCAAGTGCCTTTTTAATATCTGCTTCTATCCCAATTCCATTTTCATAATACAAACCAACAATATATTGTCTATAGGGAGTCCCTTTTTTAGCACTCAACTGACACAAGTTAGTTACCAAATGGACATCAAGTTTTGATCCTGCCACACTGCTATAATATCTACCGTTTTCAACATGTATTGACATATGTGCTTGTTCTACTGCCCTCTGATATAACTCAGTTGCTTTTTGTTCATCCTGTTCTGCAAAAATTCCAAGCTCATAACATTCAGCAAGCTTAAATAGCCCAAAAACATTTCCCTGTTCAGCTGTTCTTACATACAATTCAATTGCTTTCAGTTTGTCTTTTTCTACTCCCATTCCATTTTCATAACAAACAGTAAGTTGTGTCTCTGTTCAGCTGCTTTTTTATACCATTCAACTGCTTCCATCTTTTTCCACTCCAATTCCCTTGTCATAACATAAAGCAAGATCATATTGTGCACTGACATCTCCTTTTTCAGCTGCTTTTTTATACCATTCAACTGCTTTTTGTTCGTTTTTTTCCACTCCAGTTCCATTGGCATAACATAAAGCAAGATTCAACTGAGAATCAGAATTTACTTGTTCAGCTGCTTTTTTATACCATTCAACTGCTTTTTGTTCATCTCTTTCTACTCCAGTTCCATATCTGTAACATAGGGCAAGATTATGTTGAGCATTGACATCTCCTTGTTCAGCTGCTTTTTTATACCATTCAACTGCTTTTTGTCCATCTTTTTCTACTCCAATTCCATTTGCATAGCATATACCAAGGCAACATTGTGCAATAGCATGTTCTTGTTCAGCTGCTTTTTTATACCATTCAGCAGCTTTTTGCTCATCTTTTCCCACTCCAGTTCCAATTTGATAACAATAACCAATCTTTAATTGAGCATTGACATCTCCTTGTTCAGCAGCTTTTTTATACCATTTAACTGCTTTTTGTTCATCTTTTTCTACTCCAATCCATTGACATGACATAAACCAAGATTATGTTGAGCAGGGGCATATCCTTGTTCAGCTGCTTTTTTATACATTTCAGCTGCTTTTTGTTCATTTTTTCCCACTCCAGTTCCATTGGCATAACATGCAGCAAGATTATTTTGAGCACTGGTATATTCTTGTTCAGCTGCTCTTTCATACCATTCAACTGCTTTTTGCTCATCTTTTTCCACTCCAGTTCCATTGGCATAACATACAGCAAGCTTAAATTGTCCAAAGACATATCCTTGTTCAGCTGCTTTTCCATACCATTCAACGGCTTTCAATTCATCTTTTTCTACTCCAATTCCATCATCATAACATGTACCAAGATTAAACTGAGCGCTGGTGTTTCCTTGTTCAGCAGCTTTTTTATACCATTCAACTGCTTTTTGTTTATCCTGTTCTACTCCAATCCCAACTTCATAACACATACCAA